ATATGGAATAAATTACAAGTAGGTACAGAGATGAATGAAAAATATATTGAAACGTTTTATAGAGAACTTGTTGTTGGAAAAAAGAAAAGAAAATAAAGATGGTTCTTCTGAGAAAAGGGAATCCTTTATATATCAGTGGAATAATCACTTTGAAGGGAAACCAGTCACGAGATAATGAATTTCATAGGAAACGGACAATGGCGCTACCAACGTTGGAACCGGCTGTTGTGTGAGCTTTGGAGAAACACAACCGGATAACGTCTTCGACGATCCCTATCGAAACCTTCAGCCATGCATCAATGGAATTCAAAGAATTTATCCGAAGAATTCGTTGCGTTGTACGTAGAGTACATTAATGCCTTCTTTGGTAGTGACTCACAACGATTCGCATATTTCCACGATGTCAAACATTGCGCATAACTATGCTTTACCACACTGATAGATAAATAGATAGATAGATAGATAGATAGAAAAACCAAAAAAAAAAAAAAACAAATCAACATTAATAAGAGAAATCTGGTAATTGAATTTTCATTTCCCCAACTCTTCATTGATTTTGAATCGTGAGGATGAAGAAAATTGTTCACATTTTTAATATTTTTTTTTTTTTCTTGTATAAATAGAATTAGAAGAAATTGATGAACATATTATTATCGTTCAATGATGCATTTTATATTTTTTTTATTTTAAACCTTTGAGTGTTATATGGACACATATATGCGTTTGGTAAAAATAACTAGCGTGGTCGTTTGACGTATGTACGTGTTTGTTAATTAATTAAATTATTTTCAGAAAAAGTGAAACTTTAATTATTACATATAATTTAGTATTAAAATTTGGTTAATAATAAATTATTCTATATATAATATATAATGTTATATAACAATATAATATAATATATAAAAATATAAATATACAAATATATAATAATATAAAATATAATATATATATATATATATATATATATATATAGATACTATAAAACATTTTAGGTACAACTATTCAGCACTCAAAGGATTAATTAAAATAACAACACTAATTCCATTTATTAATTGGTATAAAATACTAAAACCATGCAATGTCATGAAATGTCATTTTTCTGATTTAACAACAGAACTTATGTATCAATTTTTATTTAACAAAATTACATACATAACAATTTCCTTTTTTCTTCTTCTTCTTCTTCTTCTTCTTCTTCTTCTTTTTCTTTTGAACAATAATGTAAGACAGATGTAATATTATTTAATGTAAATATATTGATCGATAAATTTCTTCAATTGCAATGATTTCATCGTTGTCGATCAAGGACTCTAAGAAAAAGAAAAAATGTACTTTTAAGTGTAATAAAAAGATAGATAGATAGATAAAGAATGATAGAACAGTAAGAAGAAGAAAACGAGAAGAGGAAGAAGAAGAAGAAGAAGGAGGAGATTGTGAAAAGACAGAAAAAGAAACGATCTAACCATGTGTGCCTCTTGAGAAGTGTTAACTTCTACTATATATCGTTCATTGGGTTACGTAGACGATGATCTTGCGTTACATGAGAGAGCAAAGATATTACATTGCGTGATCGACGGTGCACGCATCAGTAGACTGTAGAACGGTAAACGAAATACACGTGTTGATTCAAGTATTTAATGTGTCCACAAACAAAATCATCGATTTATCTGAGAAAACTTATTTTGATTTTCAATACAATGATCTTCTAAACAATTTCTTATCTTATTACAATCGAATGATAATTCAAATGATCATCAAATGTATCGAAAGATTAAATGTAACGAATTATCATTGTTTTCATTGATTTTTATCAATTTTAACGAAATGTCAAATCTCGTAAGAAATATTAACATATTTCATTCATTACGATAATAATAATAATAATAATAATAATAATAATATTAATAAATAATTAATAAAAAGAAACAGAAAGGACGAGTAAGAAAGTGTAGGAAAAATTTGAATGAAAAAGAAAAAAAAAAAAAAAAGAAAAAAAAGAAAGCAACGAAAGATGAGATCGAATAATTATTTATTCAACTGTAAAAGTTTATTCATTTCGATGATAATTGTGTCGGTTTTGTTTGATCATTGGGTGATTGCCAATGAGGATAATGAATCGACTATGGTGGTGCGCGAGAAAAAGGCGCGAATTGTGAAGAAACTTAAAAAAGATTTGAGAAAATTGAAGAAACAAGAAGGAGCAATTAAATTGATTGGTAGTGAGAAAGGTGATTACGAAGGTAAGTTTAAATTAATGATAAACATTAAATGATGCATGAAAGATGATTGAAGAAAAATTGAATGAAAAAATGAAATTCCATGAAGAAATTCTTTGCTCCGTTGTAAGAGGGTCGTTGGTTGATTTCAAATTTCCCGCCATAAGATTAAATCCTCACGTGGATATGTTATATGACATTTTAAAGCATCCCTAAACACGGAACAAGATAAGTTTAATAAAAAAAATTAAGTATAGACATTTATCAGCTGACGTATTATTGCTCGTAATATTATACTATAAACGTTGTATAACGCTGATTAAAAAGAGGTCAACGCGAGTAAGATTTATGTCAACGACTATGTACACGATGCACATAACTCGTGACGTACTTGAACTATACCGGGAATTACGTGATATACGTGTATGCATACATATACATATATATATTTATATTTAATTAATTTATTTGAATTATTAACTTATGTAAATATCATTTACATATCTACATAATATAATTAATACCTGTATTATATCTATATGTGTATAGCTAATATTTATACTTAATGAACAAAAATGGTATTTATATATTGACTAAATATTTTATATTTTTTTTCTATTAATATTAATATAATATATATGATAATATAATATATAAAAATATAAATATACAAATATACAATAATATAAAATATAATAATATTAATATAATATTAAATACTATAATATATAATAATATA